ACACACACACCACACACCCACACGCCACACACACCACATACCACACACACACCACACACCCACATTCCCCACACATTCCACACACTTCCCCCCACTCCACACACACCCAAACACCCTCACATACACAGCCAACACCCCCCACACCCACACCACACACCCACAAATACCCCACACACACATCCCACAAACACATATACCCCATACCCTCCACATATACACACCACAAACATCCAACATACACATACCACACAAACACATCCTCCTCACATACACACATACACAGCCACACACACAAGATGCATACCACACCCACATCTCCCCCCACACAAAATACACTCATCCAAATCCCTAGTCCCACATATACAAACACACCACACAGTCACACACGACACCCACCTCCCCCCAACATATATACACACACACCACACACACATTCCCTCACATACCCATAAACACGCCCCACACAAACACACACCATATGCACACCAGATACCCCCAAAACACCCACATACGCATACACCACACACAAAATACATCCCAACCCCTCCACACACACACCCTGCACATATGCACCCACATCCACACCACACACACATCCCAGCCATATGTGCCTCTGACACGAGAGGAGAAAGCAAAGGTGAGTGGAACAAACAAGGGAAGCCAAAGTGAGGCAGCCACACTTGCCCCTTCACCCCTGTGCGGCAGGAAGTAATGCCGCCTGCTGGGCCGCCCACCTGCACAGGAAGGGCAGAGCAGGGAGGACGTCAGGGTCACACCAAGGTCTGTCTCCACCACTATGGAAGTGAGTGGGAGCTGAGTAAGGATATAGAGGAGGACCCCAGTGGGGCTGGAGACCAGAGAAATGACAAGAGTTTGTGCACAAAGGCAGCTTCTTCCCAAACCTCACTAAGCAGCCCCAGCTGTAGGAACAGAGGAGGAGGATGGCTGGGCTGGTTCAAGGCTGAAAGCATCAGGAAACGTGATCCACGCTGGGGCTAGTGAGCTAGAGGGAAGGAGGCCATGGGGGAAATGCAGTGAGGCGGAGGAGGCGGAGGAGGTGGAGGCGGAGGCGGAGACGGGAGAGGCGGTGGTGGTGGTCTTGCAGTTTAGAGGGAACAATGGTAGGAAGGGAGGCAGGGAGGAGAGGATGTATGTGTGCTACAGCAGTGTCTACCAGACAGTCCACCTCATGACCATGTGCAGCGTCTGGCCCAAAGCAGACGGCTTTGACAACAGTCAAAGACACATCAAATCTGGGGAACTGAGAAAGGCAATCGAGCTTGAAATTAGATTGTTAAATGAATCACCCCTAAACATGTTCAAGTCACTCAAGACAGCAGGAAATGCGGAAGGGGACACCAACAAGCCAGTACTCAGTGAACAAGGAAACTGGATGGTCAGAAAACTGCAGTGATGAGAAAGGCTGGATGTGAGGGAGCAATTAGCTGCTTGAATTTTCAAGGAGGAAAAATTTTTGCATGAGACTGGAAGAGAAACAGCCTTTAAAAATGAGCATTCTCTGTCTCAAAAAAAAAAAAACTACATATGCATATATGTTACACTATATTATATGCATTATTTAAGTGCATATAATTTTTTGGACAAAATACTAACACTGACTAGAAAGTTTGGTTCTGGATAAGATGGCCTAAACACACCCTCCAGTCTCACTTCCACCGAAAGCAGCTACAAATTCCACAGAGAATATATGAAGCAGCTGTTTGAGGACTCTGAAAAGTAAACAGTAGCAGGCAGATAGGCAAAGAAGTTCAAAATTTAAGAACCACTAAACCAGCAGTGAGTTTACCACTTTTTCCTCTAGTGTCCCTGGTCTGGACTCACGGGAGCTCCAAAAACCAGAAGTAGCACTGAGCCACACGGAGAGCACCAGGAGAAGGTCTCTAGTGAGGCTCCAGGAGTGGGAAAGGGGTCTTCTGCCAGCAACCACGCGCGGTGGCAGTGGCGGCATCCCCAGGTAACTCAAACTCTGTGGGAAACAAATTTTCCTTACACTTGAAAGCTCTATGACCTTCTCAACCCCTGCTGCAGGGCTGGACAAGGGCAGAATCGCAGGCGCTTGGACACTGCAGGGTATATGAAGCCCCGGCATTCCAGGTGAGGTACTTTAACTAAAATGTACCCAGAGAGTTAACAGCTCAGAAAAGTGACCCCACAAAGTTGTTTATAAACTCCTGGCCTCATCCCAAGGTGTGGCTGTGTGGATCTGATCACAAACAGCATCTGAAAGACTCAGAACTGCAGCTCCAATCACCCAGCTCTCAGACTGGCCACTGGGCGGCACACATGGGGGCTGTTCCAATAGCTCTGTAAAGGATCTTTGAAAACAGGACTGGCACAGGAAACCAAACAGAAAAGGCTGGTTGGAATCTGACCCAAAGGGGTTGATGGCCTGTGAAAATATAAACATCAGCATTTCCCAAGGATTTAAACAAGACCAGCGATCACATAAATGTCCATGATAAATCCAAAATTACTTGGCATACAAAGAAACTGGAAATCTCAACTCACATGGGAGAAAACCATCGAGACACCAAGGCCAGGATGATACAGATGTTGGAAGCATCTGGCACGACTTTACAGAAGCTCTTACTTTTAAAAAGTGCTCCACAGCATGGCATGGTGGCACATACCTATAGTGCAGCTACTCAGGAGGCTGAGGTGGAAGGAATACTTGGAACGCCCAGGAGTTTGAGGCCAGCCTGAGCAACGTATGCAGAGACCCGGTCTCTTTAAAAATAAAAATAAAAAAATAAAGATGCTCTAAGAAGTCAAAGGCAACACTCAGAATGAGTGGTGTGAGTGGCAGAATACTACACTGCTCCCTCTCCCCACGATTTCCTGCCCTAATCTCTGGGACTATAAATTATCACACACTGATTATGTCATTGTCTGGAAAAGGGGATTCTGTGGATGTAATTAAGGGTTACTAACCAGCTGACTCAAGAGTTTATCAAAAGGAGTTTATCCAGGTCTGCCTAATCTAAACACAGAAATGCATATGAAGCAGAGAGTTTGCCTTCTTGAAGTAAAATTTTTAACGAAAGAATAAAAGCAGACAGAGTTTCATCTTGCTGGCAGCAGAAGAGGAAGTCTGAGACTGGACACGTCAGGACTCAATGAGCGACTGTGGCTTGAAGACAGGCCCACGTGCGAAGGAATGCAAGCAGCCCCAGCAGCTGACCCACAGCTGACCCACAGCCAGGACAAGGGAGCTCGGTCCTGAAACCAAGACACTGGACTCTGCCAGCAACTTCAACGTGCCCAGAAGCAGATTCCTCCCCCAGAGTCTCCAAAAAGATCCCAGCCTGGAAGACACCTCAGTTCTGGCCTATGCAGAGAACCCCTCAAACCCACTCAGACTTCTGACTTACCAAACTATGAAATAATAAATGGTGTTGTTTTAGCCACCAAGTTGGTAATAATTTGTTAGATAACAATAAAAAACAAATACAGATTTTAGTACCTGGAAGTGGAGTGCTACCATAACAAAGACTTATTTATCATTTTGACATAACCATGAAGTATCATGTGATAGTATTTGGGGCTCACTGATTGCTCTAAGGTGAGTACATTCCTTCCTTAAATTTGTTTTTCTAAAATGCTATTTAAGAGAGTGCACCCCTTTAACTTCTCCAGGCAATTTATTTCCTCTGGTTTTTAGAACTACCACCAAAATTAACGGTGTTTACTTGAAGAAAGGCCCAATCAGCACATTCTAATTAATTGTAAATAGAATTAACTTTTTAACATTATCCATCATACACTTTGAGTTTGGTACACTGTCCTGGCTTCAAGTCTCCCAGGAGTTGCAATATGGTGTCCAAGAGCACCCGGCTTGAATTAACCAAGAATTCACGACCACATGCTATGGCAGCAACGTCTGCAACAGAAAGATGAAACAAAGCATCAAGATCATGAAGACTTCAGAACCTAGAAAATTTTGTGCAGACGTGTATACCTATGTAACAAACCTGCACGATCTGCACATGTACCCCAGAACTTCAAGTATAATTTTAAAAATTATAAAATTCAACATTTTATGGCATTCCTTGAGACTAGACATCACTGTACAGTCTACCTAAGTCAACTGCCTTACAGGTCATTTTCAGGACCCATAATGCCACCTACCTAATAAGAACACTCATTGAAAATACTTTGTGACCTTTTGTTTAAATACTATATTGGACAGCCTTCTTACAATAATTATTATCCAGAGCCTATAAAAGAAAAGATTGGCCAATCAGAATGTAAAACAGTTAATTCTATATGACAAAACACTACAAAAATTAAAATTAGCAGACAAAGGGAGAATGCTGTTTGTACAAGATGTGTCTACAAAAGACTACATTTCATAATGTATTGATTGGAATATTTGCTAATCAATAAAGAAAAGAAGAAGAAAAAAAGAAAATCTGTGCAGAAGAGTATTTATTGCTGTTTTTCTCCTAAAAGACCTAATAAAAACACAGCTGACAATGAGGCATTTAAAAATGAAATTGCTAGACATCGTGGCTCACAACCGTAATCCCAACATTTTGGGAGACTGAGGTGGGAGGATCGCTTGACGCTACAAGTTCAAGGCCAGCCTGGGCAACAAAGCAAGACCCTATCTCTACAAAGAATTTAAAAATTAGCCAGGCATGGTGGTGCGCACCTGTAGTCCTAGCTATTCAGTAGGTGAAGGCAGAAGGATTGCTTGAGCCCAAGAGGTACAGGTTGCAGTGAGCCATGATCATGTCACTGCACTCCAGCCTGGGCAACAGAGCAAGGCCCTGTCTCAAAAAAAAAAAAAAAAGTATCAACGAAAATGACAGCCCAGAGAGAATCACTGACAATCACAAAAGCTACTGAAATAGTAAATTATGTGCACCATGATTAGCAAGTGCCTAAAGAGTGAAACAGAGCCCTGGAATCTAGGCATGTCTGCAGTCCCTATGCTCCACAGTACTGCATTAAACAGCTGTGGGCAGTTAGGGTCCAAACATAAGGGAGGGCTGATTATCTTATCTGGGACTGAGAATGTATAAATTCACTTTTAATAACATCCATAATCCAAAAACCCAAAAACCAAAATGCTCCAAAATCTAAAATTTTTTGAGCACTGACAAGATGCACAAAGGTCATGTTCACAGAGCATTACAGATTTCAGATCTTTGAATCAGAGTGTTGAAAGAGCAGATATAATGCAAGTATTCCAAAATCCAAAACACTTCCGGTCCCCAGCATTTCGGATAAGGAATATTTGATCTATATTTGCTAATAAGTTTTAGCCATGATATAAAACTGAAAACGGAAATTATATGCAGTCAAAAAAGACTATGAAAGCTGATTTTAAAGAAAACTTATTTTCTCAATTTTATGTCCCATTGTGGATCAGCAAGTACCCCATTTCTTCATGCCTGAGGCCCTGCGAATCGGCGTAAAGCCCAGACCAAGTAATCACACTGCTCCCAGTGGGCAGTGCTGCAGCCACTACTGGCTCCATCGACATTTCCAAATACCTGTCAGTATCCAGTGATCCAAGTACGTTTATGTACATGTTTGTAAGAGTCTTCTTTAGTTGGATCTGGCAGTAAAGCATGATTCAAAGTGACTAAGATTTCTAAGCCAAATGATCAGACCAAGGTGGAAGAGAGACAGGCCAGCAGCCTTGTCTTTCTCCTGATTTTAATAGAAATGCTTCTAAAAACTCACAGTTAAGTGTGATGTCTGATGTGTTTCTGGTAGATACCCTTTATCAGTTTAAAGAAGTCTTCATCTGTTCTTAGTTTTTGCTAAGAATTATCACAAATGGAAGCTGAGTTTTATCACTTACTTGTTCTGCCTTTGACTAGATGTAATCTTACGCATAAAATAAAATTTCATCTATGCTCCCAGACCAACTTAATGAACTCAGATCTTTGACATTCCTATTTATTTTTGTTCACCTGGTCTGAGATGGACCAAAAGAGTAATATTAAAGTCTACTAAACCTAACAGAGTTTTTCCCCTTTCTACCTGTCTTTGCAGCATTTGGCCACATCATTGGTGCTGTGTCTTCGGGTACGTACTTTCATGATAGCCATAACTATTGAGAACAGAACTTTTCACTGACACAAACTTACCTTCTTTGGTTAATGAATTTTAACCTGATAGGTACATTTTCCAGAATACGACACATTCTAGTTTTACTGAAGACATATTTTAGGAGAAAAATGAACCAAGTAAGCATTTGACATCATAAACACAAAAGATAGCTTTTAGGTAGCTTTTCAGGGGAAAAAAGCATTATTTATGTAAATAACTGCAGACCATATACTGAAACCCAGCAGAAAAACAGAGCTATAGGCTCTGGCAGCCTGACTCCAGAGATAGGTACCAGGTGAGCCTGGCCTCATGTTCAGACCCTTGAGTAGTCCCCTACACTGTGACTCACTTGTCAGAAGTAGAATGCAGCAGAACGGACACCACAAGCCTTCCAACAATGGACAGGAAGAAGCCTTATGACTTCGGTGGTCTCCTGTCACTTGCTCTAGGATTCCTGAGTCACTGTGAAAGAATTCCAACTACCCTAAGGCTGCCATGATGAAGAGACCACACAGAAATAGCACAGTGGAGGCCAGGCGTAGTGGCTCACACCAGTAATCCCAACAATTTTGGAGGCCAAGGTGGGTGGATCACTTGAGGTCAGGAGTTTGAGACAAGCCTGGCCAACATGGCAAAACCCTGTTTCTACTAAAAATACAAAAATCAGCCAAGTGTGGTGGCTCACACCTGTAATCCTGGCTACTTGGGAGGCTGAGGCAGGAGAATTGCTTGAACCTGGGAGTGGAGGCTGCAGCAAGCCAAGACTGCACTACTGCACTCCAGCCTAGGAGACAGAGCAAGGCTCTGTCTAAAAAGAAAAGAAAAGAAATAGCACAGTGAAGAAGGCTTGAGACTCTATGAGGGGAGAAGACAGGGAAAGACACCTCACTAGACTCCAGCTGTTCCATCCCTCAACAATTTGAGTCATTCCAGCTAAGGCCCCAGATGTTGGAGAGCAGCAGCAGCAAATTATCCCTGCCAAACCTGACCAAATTGTAGACTCATGAGCAAAATAATTGTCGTTAAGGAGGTTTGTTATACAGCAATAGAAACATTACTAATACTGAAGAAAAACAAACAAAAACTATACCATAGCAAGCAACAACACCCAACAAATTTACTGATAAATGAAGTCTGTATCATATATCCAGTATTGTAGCTGCAAATGCCAATGCCGCATTTCATTAAACATCACCAAAACATGAACTACAAAGTAAAATAAATGTGAATAAATTCTTACACAGACTGCTCCAGTATTTGTCTGTTGGAATTTGTTTCACATGACAATTTGTACTTTGCTTACTGTTATTTAATCTATCTAGAATGCTTGTGAGTCAATTCAAGGCTACAGAATTGATTTGTTACCATTCACCAAAAGTAAAAAACTACCAGTTTATTTTTCTGTTAAAATGGTTTTTCTAGGTTCATTTTTCATTAAAAGTGTTTATAGGTAATTCTAAAGGTTAACATAGTAATTATATAATTTAAGAAATGGGCCAGGCACAGTGGCTCACGTCTGTAATCCCAACACTTTGGGAGGCTGGGGTGGGCAGATCACAGGGTTAGGAGTTCAAGACCAGCCTCAGCAACATGGTAAAACCCATCTCTACTAAAAATTCAGAAATGAGCCAGGCATGGTGGCGCATGCCTATAATACCAGCTACTCAGGAGCTGAGGCAGGAGAATTGCTTGAATCCGGGAGGCAGAGCTTGCAGTAAGCCAAGATTGTGCCACTACACTCCAGCCTGGGTGACAGAGCAAGACTCCAACTCAAGAAGAAAAAAGAAATCAAAAAGAAATGGAGTGAGCACAGTGGCTCACGCCTGTAATCCCAGTATTTTGGGAGGCCAAGGAGGGTGATCAGCTGAGGTCAGGAGTTTGAGGCCAGCCTGGCCAACATGGCAAAACCTGGTCTCTACTAAAAATACAAAACTTAGCCAGGCATGGGGGTATGTGCCTGTAATCCCAGTTATTCGGGAGGTTGAGGCAGAGAATCACTTGAACCCAGGAGGCAGAGGTTGCAGTGAGCCAAGATCACACCACTGCACTCCAGCCTAGGCAACAAAACAAAACTCTGTCTCAAAAAAAACAAAAGGAAATGAATCAGGGCCAAGCACAGTGGCTCACATCTATAATCCCAATATTTTGAAAGCCATGGTAGGAGGATCATTTGAGCCCAGAAGTTTGAGATGAGTCTAGGCAACATAGTATCTCTACAAAAAAAATTAAAAATTAGCTAGGTATGGTGGCTCATGCCTGTAGTCCCAGCTACTTGGGAGGCTGAGGTTGAAGGACTGCTTGAACCCAGGAGTTTGAGCTTACAGTGAGTTATGATCATGCCACTGTACTCCAACCTGCGGGACACAGTGAGACTCCATCTTAAAAAATAAAAATAAAAAATCTGGTGTCAATTATTTATGCTAAAAAAGATATACAGAGTTCAGACATATTATGTCTGATACTTTTGCTTTAGACTGTAATAATTTCATCTTGTTTTCAGCAACAAAAATAACAAGAGGGTATTGGCAGAGAATGATAGACATATAAATCAATGGTAGCATTGAGAGTACAGAAATAAATCCTCACATTTATGGTCAATTGATTTCCAACAAGGTTGCCAAGACAAATCAATGGAGAAAGGATAAAATAATCTTTTGAACAAATGGTACTAAAACAACTGGGTATCCACATGCAAAGGAATGAAGTTGGATCTCTACCACACACCATATACAAATATTAACTCAAAATGGATCAAAGATCTGAATGTAAGTATTAAAGCAATAAAATTCTTTTTTTTTTTTTTTTTAGTCTGGG